GATTTCACCCTAGATATGGAAAAGAGAAGTTCCCAAGCTGTTTCCATTTACATTTGAGGTACCCAGAGGAAAACAAAGACTCTCTCCCAGACAGTCTATACTCTACCCCTACAAATCCAGTCAGTTAGAGAGGGGATGGTCTGTCGAGCTCAACCTTCCTCCCTCATAGTCTCCCAGGCTTCCTTCCCCCCACCTCAACTCTCATGAAGCTCAGAACCATAGAGTAGTCACAGGAGAGGGAGAGGCAGCAGCGTAGAACAGACCCTCCCTCCCCCCCAACTCTGCAGCCAGAAACCTTACTGTCTTATTCTCCCTGAGGTCTACCTCCTCCCCTCCAACTCTTATAGGGGGTAGAGTTGGATGCGGGAGGGCCATGAGGCATGAGAACAACAATTTCTAGACTGAATTGAGGAGGAAGTGTACCACAACTGAGCCAGAATTAGCACACACACCCTTCCCCAACATATTAGGGGCATCAGGAAAGCCACAACTTTCCTGCCTTAGCTGCAGCTCTGATGATAATACTATCTGCTTTTCTATACACATTTCCCATAAGAACTAAAAATGACATCTGTAAATTGAGGGAGGCAGGAGTCTAAGGTCCCTTCCAATTCTGTCTCTATGATCCTATGTCCAGAAATGCTTTGAAAGAAGTTGATTCCTAAGCCCCTGAGCATAAACTTTGGCTTCTGAATGTTTCAAATATGCCCTGTTCTGATGAATACATATACACATATATACACACACGTATGTATATGTATACACATATGTGTGTGCATGTACACACATATACATATATACATGTGTATAAACATATATACATACACACACACACCCATTTTCATTCTGCAGTAGAGTGCTCAAGGTGGAAAGAGAGGTGAAGAAATACCTAAAGTGCTAAGGAAGGAGATCTTCCATTGTCTTTGAATTGTTATTGAATAAACATTTATTGAACACGTATTACGTGCCAGACACTGTGCTAACCTCAAGAATGCCAAAAAATAGAAACAAAAAGGCAAAACCGCTCCCTGGCCTCAAGGAGCTCACAGTCTAATGGAAGAGCCAAGGCAGAGGATGAATTATTTAAAATAACAATTCACACTTACATAGCCCTTTAAGATTTATGAAACATTTTCCTGAAAAAGCAATCTTCTGAGGGAAAGTACATATATATATATATATGCATATATATGCATATATATGTATATATATGTGTGTATATATATGTATATATATGCATATATATGCATATATATGTATATATATGTGTATATATATGTATATGTATATATATGTATATATGTATATACACACACACATATGTGTGTGTATGTGTGTGCGTGTATGTGTGTGTGTGTGTGTATAAAGTTTTATTATTCCTATTTTACAGATGAGGAAACAAATTCTCAGAAGTTAAAGAGCTCAGAGGAAGTTGAAGGGTTTTTCCAGGATCACACATCTGGTATCACAGAGATTAGAACCCAGTTCTCCTGTCTCATAGTCCAGTGATTTCCCATTGCACCACAACTGTTTGCACAGCTCTAGCCTTTACTTTCAGACCTACAGGTTTTTGATGAGGATGCCACTTCACAAAATCTGGTCTTACAAGCTCCTCTCCAGAACAAGTGCTAATAAGACAGATTACTGCCAGACCCTATTCTCTTTTTTTGGTGAGGCAACTGGGGTTAAGTGACTTACCTAGGGTCACACAGCTAGTACACGTCAAGTGTCTGGGGTTGGATTGGAACTCAGGTCCTCCCGACTCCAGGGCTGGTGCTCTATCTACTGCGCCACCTAGCTCCCCCTTTTTTAAACTTTTAAAAAAATTATTTATTTAGTATTTTATTTTTCTCCAATTACATGTAAAAATATGGGAGGAAGGTGCTACTATTATCCCCATTTTATAGTTGAAGAAACTGATATGAACAGAAGTTAAGTGACTTGCCCAGGGTCTCACATCTAATAAATGCCTGAGGCTGGATTTGAGTTCCAAATTCTCCCTCTCCCTCCCTACTCCCTGAGGAGGCTAGCAATTTGATATAGGTCATGCAAAACATATTTCCATATAAGTCATGTTGCAAAAGAAAACACCCTCCCAAAAAAAGTTTTTAAAAAAAGTATGCTTCGATCTATATTGAGTCCATCACTTCTTTCTCTGGGGATGGGATAGCATTTTTCATCATAAGTCCCTGAAAATTGTTTGTATTGCTGAGAATAGCTAAGTCATTCACAGTTGATCATCTCCCAATTCTGCTGTTACTATGTACAACATTCTCCTGGTTCTACTCATTTCACTTTGCATCAGTTCATGTAAGTCTTTCCAGGATAAAACAGTTTTCCAATACTGCTAATTAGGCCTTTGACATATCACCTTGGTACTACACTGCCCAAATACCACGCTGGTGAAAGCCTGCCAGGCAAACAGCTAAACTGATCCAGTTCCCTTTTCAGCGGCTATCACCTCCCTTCCGCCATCACTGCAACTAAAACCAGTAGAAACCTCTTCCAGATCTTTCAAGCACTCAGTGTCACATCCTCAAGGAAAGGAAGCACACAAAAGAGGCAGAGGCCACCAGTGGGCCAGGGGTAAGTACACCCACTTGTGGTCTCTGGCTCTAGTGAACACATGCTTGGTGTCACTATGACATTAGAGAAGGACCCTGTCCTTCCTGAATCCTCTACTACATGCCACTTGTAGGTCCGAAGGGGAGAGTAAGGCAGCCAGGAGCTATCTCTTATTTTAGAATAGCTAGCATTTACGTAGCACTTCAAGGTTTACAAAGTGCTTTATAAATATTATCTCATTTTATCCTCACACAATCCTAGGAGATAGGTGCTATTATTATCCCCATTTTACGGATAAGGACACTTAGTAGGTGGCACAGTAGATAGAATGCTGGGCCTGGAGTTAGGAAGACCTTAATTCAAATCCAACCTGACATTTATTAGATGTGAGACCCTGGGCAAGTCACTTAACCTCTGTTCATATCAATTTCTTCAACTATAAAATAAGGATAATACTAGCACCTATCTCACAGGGTTGTCATAAGGATCAAATGAGATGATATTTGTAAAACACTTAGCAAAATGCCTAACACATAATAGCTGCTGAATAAATGTTTATTCTACTTCGCAAATGTCTTGACCAGGGCCACACAGCTAACAAGTGTCCAAGGTTGGATTTGAATTCAGATCTTCCTGACATCAAGTCCATTGCTTTCTCCATTGTGACACTTAGCTGGCTCTTCTTTTAATAGATACACCACCCTACCTCCCCGGCTATTGTCACAGGGATAGGGGGATGACTCAGGGACTCTTATGTCATTTCATGCCCTTTAACCAATGAGTCACCACATGGCCAGAAGCAGAGTCCCCCAGGCTTCCTTGTAGGTGACTAGAATCAGGCAGGGAATATCTGTGTGAGCTCCAAGGAGTAGCCCTTAAAGGTCAATTCCCCAAAGTTACACTTAAATATATAAATACCTAACTAAATTACCAACCTCTCAAGGACAGGGCCATGTTTTGCTTTGTGTTGTTTTATATCTTTATATATCTACATGTCTTCTAACTCTTAGTAATATATATATACACATATACATATGCTGTGGATGATAATGTCTCTTTCCCACTTCAAAATTACCTCATACTTCCTTTTGTATTTACTATACACATATCTGTATACATATATACAAAGTAAATATGAGATGATTTTGAAGTTGGGGAGTATATGCGTGTGTGTGTATGTATATATATGCATATATACACACATATATATGTCTATACAAATATATGTATATATATGCCTTGTGCATATTACATATATGTATATATGAGGTACATATGTGTACTACACACACATATGTATATGCACACATGCATAAGGATACATGAGTTGCAAATACGTATGTACATATATACACATGCATATATCACATAGAGGCAGTATTGCATAGTAGAGTGATGGCTTCCGAGTCCAGAAGACCTAGACTCCAAGTCCAGTCTCTGACACCTGATGAATGTGACCCTGGACAAGTCATTTAACTTCTCTGTAGCTCAAGCAGCTCTGAAAGCCACAGCACAGGTTCCCATTCTTGATTGGTTGAAGAAGTTTATTTCTTCATTAAGTTCCCATTAGCAGTGAAATCCCAGATCCCTCCCAATAAATATACATAAACATCACACACACACACACACACACACACACACACACACACACACACACACACACACACACACACACACACACACACACACGCATACATACATATACGTGATTTCCTTCTGGCAACTCAAAGCACTCAAGCCAACAGCCTGTTTAGTTGTTTTTTAGTCATGTCTGACTCTTTGTGACTCCATTTGGAGCTTTCCTGGCAAAGATCCTGGAATGGTTCACCATTTCCTTCTCCAGCTCATTTTACACATGAGAAAACTGAGGTAAACAGGGTTAAGTGACTTGTCCAGGGTCACACAGCTAGTAAGTATCTGAGGCTGGATTTGAACTTGGGAAGATGCATCTTCTAGACTCCAAGCCCAGCATTTTATCCGCTTTGCCACCTAGCTGTCCTGAGCCAAAGGAAGAACTGTTATATTTCTATACACACATATGTGCATATGTATATCTATAGGGTATGTGTGTAGGCATGTTGTTTCTCCAATAGAATTAAGCTCATTGAGGGCAGGGGATGCTTCATATTTATCTTTGTACCCATGATAGACTTGATAGGCGTTTAATAAATACTAGTTGATTGGTACTATCCTCTGACTTTCCTATGGTTCTGAAATGGCTTCTCCCTTGTGCCTGGCATCATGGTCAGGTAGACAGGGACCAGGCAGGAGTAAGATAACAGGGCTGGAAGGGATCTTAGGAGGTCATCTCAGGAGGTACAACCTCCTTCCTTGCCATTTGACAGATGAGGAAATCAGCAAGGGCCTGTGGTCTTCCTCCACCCTTTTCATCTAGCCCTGCCTGCCTGACCTCACCAGGAAGCCCCATCCACCAATCAGAAGCCTCATCCTATTTGTGATGATAAGTAGAAGGGCAACAGAACAAGCCAGGGAAGCCCAGTGTGAGCTGAACCTTGCCCCAGTCAGTACTGCAGCAGCAGCAGCAGCAGAATCAGAGCACCACTCTTTTCTCGGGCCAAAGACCATGGCAAGCTGGTTGTACCTCGTACTGCTTGGCACCTTTCTGCCAGGACTCCTGCACTTTGGAGAAACCGGTAGGACCCTGCCCTTCGGCATTTCTGTTTTTGCTCCCAGGTGGCTTCATCTTGAGATGAGGATAGACCTCTCCCCAGAAGAGGCAGATGGGGGAGTGGGTGTCATCTAGGCAGCTTTGGAGCCCTGTACCCTACATTTTAGCCCCTTTTCTAATCTGAGGTAGTTTGGCTGCTTCTCTACAGGTATAACAGTAGGAATATGCTGGGTCTGGATCTGAATCCTGGCTCTGCTACTTACTACCTTTCTCATCTTGGTCAAGGCAATTCTTTCTGGACTTCAATTTACTCATGTGTAAAAATAAGGGATTCGGACTAGATGAAGTTCCTTCCAGCTCTGAATTTATCACTCTTTTATCCTCTTTCTGAATGTCGTCTGTGAATAATAACCCTGTTTTGACTACTAGGGATTGAGAAAAAGTCTTTCCTGTTTCTGCCAAGATTTTGATGAGAAACAGAAGGGGGGGTGGAGAATGACAGATGGAGAGTAACCACTAGAGAAGTGGCAGACAGCAGGAAGAAGACTGACTCAATCAGGATCTGGATTAGGCAAGGCAGCATGGTAAGATGGGATGGTGGTTAGTTTTGAAGTCAGGAGTTGGGGTCAAATCCCAGCTCTGATATTTACTACCTGGCAAGTCAAGTAGCCTCTCCGTGCCTTGGTTTCTTTATCTGTAAGTTTCCTTGTAGCTGTAAATCTTTGATTCTAAAATAGGAGAAGCTGCTCCCTCTGAGTCTGATAGGGAGCTCACCTCCCAGGAAGGAGACCTGACAGGAGAGAACTCATGGAAGGAGAAAATCCAGACAAACCCAAGGAACCAGGGTGGAAGGGATACTGTGAAAGGCTGAGATGAAAACATAAAGAAGCTTGGTTTTGTTTCCATCAAAATGAATGAAAAAGGTCAAAGATGAGCATAGAATAAGTAGAAGTGACTGACAAAATGTTCCATAAAAGGGAACCAAAACAATAAGAAATTGGGAGTAGAATATAATGGTGAGAACCTAATAAAAGTAACAATACTGATGCATGGCAAAGAGCTAGCAAAGTGGGCATTAATCCATGTGTTTGATAGGGAGTGATAAAATAGTACCGGGGTACCAGCAATCCACTAAAGGGTTGTAAAGAACTCTTTAGAGAAGAAAAAATGAAAAAAATGGAAAGAATTCTTTACATTTCACAAAATAATTACAAAATGAAAAAAATGAAAAGAATTCTTTACATTTCACAAAAAACTTACATGTCATCTCATTTGATCTTCACAACAACCCTGTGAAGTGGGTGGGACAGCTACCATTTCACAAATAAGCCCCATTTCACAAATAAGGAAACTTCTGAGACTCAGAGAGTTTAAGTGACATATACTGTGTCACACAGCTAAGTGGTAGATATGGTACATAAATCCAATTCTTCTAACTATAAGTGTCCTTTCCACTATACAATTCAACCATGCACTGTTAATAAATGCAGGGCATCAAGGTAATGTAGATAAAGCCTATGGCAAGATATTTTCACTTAACAAATAATTCACATTCCTTCCTGCACACAACCACAAAATACATCTTCCTGAAACACCATCTTCTTCATGCTATTTACTCTGTCCAAGAACCTATCATGGCTCCCTACTACCTCATAAATAAATTCCAAATTTGTTATCCTAGCATTCAAGTATCTCTATAATCTGACTTCACTTTACCTTATCCAACACTGTCTTCCATTATATTTCATAATATATGCTCTTCATTCCAACCAAAATGCTCCTGTCGTACCCAAAACATACCATTCTCATTCACGCTTTCATGTGAATTTCAGGTTGCCACCTGAATTGTCCTTCCTTTCCACCAAATCAAATCCTACTCCCACTTTTGGGACAATTTATTTAGAACTGGAAGAGACTTCAGAATGTCATCTAGTCCAGCCCTCTCTTCTTACAGATAAGGAAACTGAGGCCCATAAAGTTTAAGTAATTTGCCTAATATCACGCAAGTGAACTCTAATTCAACATTAAACTCTATAACCTTAGGATATAGATAACCTTAGGTAATAAAGTCACGCAACTAGGGTTCATCTTCCACATCTGACACCGACCAGCTGGACAAAACACTTAATTTCAGTTTCCTCATTTATTAAATGAGGAAAATTCTTGCAATGTCTAGCTCACACAGTGGTGTGAGGAAAGCACATGGTGAATAAGTGCTATAGGAAGGTGAGCTATTATTATCACCATGCATAGTCCTTACTGACTGTAATGTACTTTGGCACTTGATTACATTCAAATGAGCACTTTGTTGTATGTTATCTAGCATAGCTACCAACTAAAACTGTAAGCTTTTTTGAGGGCAGGCAATGTATCACATATATGCAATCCTAAACAGAGCCAGCATAGCACTGAGCACATAGTAGGTGCTCGAGAAATAAGATTAATCCAATTCAAGTCAGTTGAATTGAGCTGAATCAAAAGAAAAGGAATGTTCTTGAAGGTTGCTACTCTATCTCACAGCTAGTGTCCGAGGCTGAATTTGAACTCAGATCTCCTTGACTCGAGCCCCAGCATTCTATTCATTACACTAGCTAGCAGCCCCCAACCTGTATCTGTCTGGGGACAACTCTGCTTCCCAGTTTATATAGCATCACCACCTGCATGACAATGACAATCGTGGACATCTTCTCCTGCCTGACAATTCAATTCCATTCAACACATATTTATTGTGTCATACAAATTTAGAAGAGGAAAAAACAGCATGGAAAAAAATGGAGTTAAAGTGATCAGAGAGGCTTTGTGGAGAAAATAGAATGGGGTTGATCTTGAAAGATATGTCCGGGATAGAGACAGATGAGAAGTGGGAAAACAGCACTAAGGGTGGAGCCAGATGATCTGGGTTTCACCATTTTGAATTAAACCAAAGAAAACTCATTAAGTTAGCCCAGTGATACCATAGCTGGGCCTGTGATTCAAAGAGGTCAAACACAGAAAGAAGATTCCATACACACCAAATATCTATAGCAACAATTTTGGTAACAATAAAGAACCAGAAACCAAGTGAGCGCCCATTGATTATAAATGGCTGGACAAATTGTAATAAGTGAATTTTTAAAATATTGTTGTGTCATTAGAAATGACGAACATAGAGAATTTAGAGAAACTTGGGGAAAGACTTGCATGAACTCGTAAGGTAAGCAGAACCAGGAAAACAAACTATACAATTACCACAATAATGTAAAGGAAAATGATATTGAAAGACATCAGAACTTGAAACAGTGCAGTAGCCAAGCCTGACTTGAGAAAACTAATGGTGAAGCATATCCCCTGCCTCTTGGGAAAGAAGTCATAAACTACAGGGATGGAACGAGGCATAAGTTTTTTAATTACACTTTTAAAAATTAACATACATTTGTTTTCTCTCCCTCCTACTGTTGTGGTCTGAGAGGCTGATACCCCTCAAAGACTGGAGTACAGGACAAGGTCATCTGGAATGAATTCACAGACTCAAGCATTCTTTTAAGTCAAGTTGGCAAAAAGTTTATTGTTACACTTTTCAGCAGGCAAGGATTCTTAAGGAACCCTGCGACCTTAGGGGGGTACAGCTAAAGTTTATGTAGGATAAAATACAATAAAACATGTGCCAAATATGCTAACTAGGTGATTCAGGGCAGATGAGGGAGTGGTTAAGGATTGGCCAGTTCTTAAAGGAACATGCACTTTTACCCAGAGTTCACTAGGAAAAGCCCACAAGGGGGGACCATGTGGAGGTGTGGTTTTAGGCCTGCTATATCACTAAGTTAACTGGAAGTCAGGGGTAACAGTCTGCCACCAGTCAATGTCTTGTTTGACAAGATAGATGTAGGGAGTATACATATGTCTTAGCTCTAGAATACAGATAATGAGGAGTCCAGGATGAAGATAATGAGGTAGGGTGGTAGAATAGATAGGGTAAGTGGGTAAGAATATCTTTATGACCCAGTGCAAAGCCAGTTCAAACTAATAATTCCTTCAGGTGCTGTTTGTAACTGCACCAGAGAGAGAGAGAGATAAGGGTCTTGCTGGGGCCCACTCATGAGTAATTGCTAGGCACAGTGTCCTTGGGCTGGGGAGAAACTGTCAGGGACAGTGTTTCTGAGGCTAGGGAGAAATTGGGGTCCAAGTACAAGCACAAGCACCCAAACACAAGCACCCCCTCACTACCTTCTTATAAGAAATTTCTTATAACATGCATAGTCAAGTGAAATAAATTCCAGACATTGGCCATGTCCAAAAATGTATGTTTCGTTCTACACACTAGGGCAGCTAGGTGGTGCAATCAATACAGTGCTTGGTCTAGACTCAGGAAGATCTGAGTTCAAATGTGATCTCAGATACACTACCTGTGTGGCCCTAGACAAGTCACCTAATCCTGTTTGCCACTGTTTCCTCAACTGTAAAATGAGCTAGAGAAGGAAATGGCAAACCATTCTAGTATCTTTGCCAATAAAACCCCAAATGGGGTCACGAAGAGTTGGATACAACTAAAATAACTGAACGACAATTTTCTGTACATTGAGTCCATCACCTCTCTGTTAGGAGGTGGGTAGCATTGTGCATCATTGGTCCTCTAAAATCCTGGCAGGTTACTGGGTGATTGATTTCTTAAGTCTTTCAAAATATGCCATTTTTACAATGCTATTGTTATAGTAAAATTGTTCCGGTTCTGCTCACTTCATTCTGCTTAAGTTTATACCTGTCCTCCTAGGTTTCTCCCTTCCTCTTTTCCTTTTATCATTTCTTATGGCACAATAGTATTCTATTATATTCATACGCAATAATTTCTTCAGCCACTCCCCAATGACAGGAACCCCTTCCCTTAGTTTACAGGGATTTTTTTGTTGCTCTAAAAAGAGCTACAAGAAGTATTTTTGTACACAAGTCCTTTTTTCTCTTTTTTTGTGGTATTGCTGAGTTGAAGGGTATGTACAGTTTAGTGACTTTTGGACCATAGTTCCAAATTGTTTTAGAGGCATGAATTTTTGCAGGTAGAATTTATTTTGTTTAATTGTGCTTATTTGTTACAAAGGAAGGTTTAACTCCCCACCACCTGGAGAGGATGGTAAAAGACAGTCTTTGGTAAATAACAGTATGTCTATATTTCTGTTCCAACTTTGCTATTGCCTAGCCATATAACCTCGAATAAATCACTTTGCTTCTCTTTCCTTCATCACTTTTCTTCAGTCTCCTCATATGGAAAATACGGTTAATGATCCTTCTGCTACATACACCACAAGGTCATTGTGAGGAAAGTGATTTGCTGACTAAAAAGTTCTGTATCAATGGGAGATATTATAAGTGGAGGGAGAGAAGAGAGTTTCCAAGGTAGATTTGACGACATGTGCAATAGCATAGTTGGAAATGAGCATGGCTAGTGTAGCCAATGGCATGGAGGCCAGCCTCACTGGGACAGACAACACACATTAGAGATGGACAGCAGGTAACACTGGGAAGGTAAACTGTGACTGACCCGTGCAGAACCTTGAATTCTAAATTGTGCATATTGACTTGATCCTACATAGACAAATAAAACAGGTTGTGTAGGTTTTTTATAAAAGACATGATAGAAGAGGTGTTTAGGAAAATTAAAAAGCTAGAAAGGTAGCTTAGAAAGCAAGCCTGCAAGGCAGGAAGACCCCTAGGTTCAAGCCCTACAACTGACACATACTAACCATGGGCAAATTACTTACAAGTTACTCTTGGGGTCCCTGGAAACTCTCCAACAGCACAAATTAGGGGAAGGCTGCTAACTTACATCAGTAGAGAGAGTTTCCACACCAGGAATTCTCCTACATCAGTTAAATCACCGGTCTGGACACAACAATCTGGCAGTAAAAAAAGAAAATTTGGAGTCACAAAAGACCAGAGTCTGGGAGAACAGTTAGGAGGTTATTGTAGCATGAGGTGATAATGATTTAGAAAAGGACAACCTCAGTGAGAAGAGAAGGGAAGAACTGAATTTCTGTGATTACAAATATTATTTGAATAAAAGTGAAATATATGTTTAAAAATGTTTAAAATACACAAAATTGCAGGTATTATTATTGTATAATGATTCATACCAAAATTTAATGATATCTATTTGATAATAGTAAAACATGATAACATGAATTTAACATGTACAAATGAATACTATCTACAGATCATTTTAAAAACAACTCAAATAATTTCTGGAACAAAAAAAATCATTTATAGAGGCAGCAAACACAATAAATAAAATAATTTATTAAACAAGCAAAATGAAAATAAAATGATTTATAGAGACAGCAAACAAAATAAAGAAAATAATTTGTGGAATAATAAACAAAATGAAATGATTTATGTAACAAAATACAATAATCTATGGATAATTCAAGCATGAGCTGGTAAGGATTTAGGAAAGGATAACCACAGTGAGAAGAGACAGGAAAGACTTAATCTAGGTGATATTACAAAGGAAGAATTACTTATTGCACAGCATATATATATATGTGTGTGTGTGTGTGTGTGTGTGTGTGTGTGTGTGTGTGTGTGTGTATGTGTGTGTGTATACATATGTACGTGAGTATACATACATATATGTGTGTGTATATACATACAAATGTGTGTATACATATACATATATACATGCACATATATATTATACACATATAGGTATATGTATATATACATACAAAGCCATATTTTTGAAACTCAGGGTCTTGAAGAATGATAATTGACCAAAATGTAGCAGTCAATTCAGAAGGGAAGATAAATTCAGTTTTTAACTTGAATAGTTTTAAGGTTGTGGAGGAAGTTCAAGTAGAGATGTCCTGAAGGTAATTCAGGATATGGAACTGAAGGTCAAGTGAGAAGGCACATGGGAAGTCATATTCAGGCTAAACATCCCTGGTTAGGGATCAACCCCATAGACACAATACAAGAAGCCATAAAACTGGATGAGCTTTCTAAAGGAGATAGAGCAGAGAAAGAAGGCCAGAAGCCCAAGGATAAACCTAGGGAATAGCCACATTTAGGAAATAGTGAACTGAACCAGAAAAGGAACAACCAGGGAAGTAAGAAAGAGGAGGCCCAGAAGAAAGGAAGGAAACTTAACAATGATATCATTGAATTTCCTCGTTTTATAGATGAGGAAACTGAGGCCCAGAAAGAGTAAGTGAATTGAAGTGTCATGACAGGGAAGCCAAAGGAGTAAAGAATTTCAAGAAAGGAAGGACACCTGGCCATGTCAAGATCACATCACCCACCATTAACCCCTGGGTCAGAGCAAAGGATTAATATTTTAATTTGATTTGGTCTTGAGAAATTACCTCAAATGAAAACTGTTGTACACAACTCAGATCTTTAGATAAGTCAGTTTCAGAGCAGGGTCCATTTTATGTTGACTATATTAGCCATTATGAGGCAGCAAGTTGGCTCAATGAATAAAGCAATGGACCTTGAGTCAGGAAGACCGGAGTTCAAATCCAGCCTCAGACACTTACTAGTTGCGTGACTCTGGGCAAGTCATTTAACCTCTATTTGCCTCAGTTTCCTCAACTGTTAAATGGTGATAATAATAGCACATACCTCACAGGATTGTTATGAGGTTCAAATGAGATAATATTTTGAAGGGCTTAGCATAGTGCCTGGGACACAGTAGGAACCACATAAATGCTAGCTATTATTATTTACCCCATCACTTGGCACTGTGCCTGACACAGAGTAGGTACTTAATAAATGCTTACTAACTGCCTGAGCTCAGCTCAGTTCTCCAACCCAAGAGTCTGAGACCGGGCTGTTTGGAGAAAAGTCATGAGATGAAACTCATCAGTTTCATGGCTTCATATTTTTCCTGTACTAGGATCATTCCTGAATAGGGATTTTTAGCCTAAATCTGACTTCCTCTCTGCCTTCCCATTTCACCTCCAGGTCCATAGTTTGAATTATCTTCAGGACATTCCTAAGTGGATGCCCTCCACGACCTTAACCTTAACCCTCTACCACCTTTTCAAAGGGGAAGGAAGGGTGCCATGTCTCTGTGGCTTTGGACAGCATGCCATTGAAGATGCAGGAGGAGGAGATTTGGACTAAATGGATCTCCTACAACTAACTGTATATTGCTAATTATCTTATAGTTTTCCTAAATCAAGAAAAGGCCAGCAGTGTCCTGAAGAGGACCCGGAGGGCTAACACAATATTTGAAGAGGTAAAGAAAGGAAATCTTGAGAGAGAATGTCTTGAAGAAACTTGTTCTTTTGAAGAAGCCAGAGAAGTCTTTGAAGACCAAGAAAAAACGGTAAAGATTAACGAGTTTAACTAAATTAATTAAACGATTAACTCATTTCATGCTCCATCTTAGAGATTTTCAGTGCACTAAATTTGTGTTTGGCTTCCTCCTCACACTCATCTGATTTTTGTTGTTGTTGTTGAGTCATTTACAGTCTTGTCCAACACGTCATGACCCCATTTGGGGTTTTCTTAGCAAAGATACTGGAGTGGTTTGCCGTTTCCTTCTCCTGCTAATTTTACAGATGAGGAAACTGAGGCCAACAGGGTTAAATGACTTGCCCAGGGTCACCCAGCTAGTAAGTGTCTGAGGATGGATTTGAACTCAGAAAGGTGAATCTTCCTAGCTTCAGGCCTGACACTCTATCCACTGCGTCACCTAGCTGTTTTACTCAATATCAGTAGTAATGGTGGAAAGAACGGCAGCTTTGGCAACTGGAGACCACCTGATTCTTAGCCCCAGCTCTGTCCCTTACCAGCTGTGTGACCTTGGACAAATCACCTGTCTCTGGGTCTCAGTTTTCTCATCTGTAAAATGAAGGGACTGGATTACACCATAAGATGTAGCAGAAATACTACATATTTACAATTGCATTATTTTTCTTGTTATTGATCAACAGGGTAATATAATTGAGATATAGGTTCATTTAATATTCGTCAAACATGTATTGAGTTGGAGCAGCTAGGTGGCGCAGTGCATAGAGCTCCAGCCGTTTAGTCAGGAGGACCTGAGTTCAAATCTGACCTCAGACACTTGACACTTAACTAGCTGTGTGACCCTGGGCAAGTCACTTAACCCCAATTGCCTCACCAAAAAGCAAAAACAAACAAACAAACAAAAAACCCAGCAAACATGTATTGAGTGCCAACTATATTCAATACATTGGTTGGGTGCTAGATAAGATAAGAAACAGGTAAGACATAATCTCTGCTCTCAGAGAGGTTATAATACACTTTCTTATAACTTTTCAATTTTCAACTTCTAATCATTATGCCAATGATTGTGACACTATCTCTGCATCATAGAAGTAGCAATGATTTTTCATTTTCCATTCACTTAGTGTCATTTGGGAAAGTCAACTTGAGGAAGCACAGGAAAGAAAGTACTGCTTTCAGCATGTCCTGGTCCTCCAAATAGATTCTCTTTCCTTAATTGTACAAAAATGTATGATAGTCTGTGCTTTTCTAATCAAACTGTTTAAATCTATTTTTCCTTCTTAGATAGAATTTTGGAATAAATACAAAGGTGAGTTACATTTTATATCTTATCCTCATGTGTGAAATAGACGAAAATATATATGGATGTACTTAGGAATGGAGTTTGACTTCAAACCAAAGCAACTCCATCTTGTTTTTAAGCAATTACTGCTCAGCCTTAGTTTGATGGAAAAGAAAAACAATGTTTATCTGTGAAGAATGCCCTCTGCTCAGTATCCTATCAAGCAGATATTTCTTAACTATAGTTAATCACCTGTACCATACAGACCATCCCAAAAGTCTTAATTCAGTTTTTAGTTATTTAAGCTATTAAATTAAATTATTAAATATTATATATTTTAAATAATTGATTATTAAATTAAATTAAACTATTAAAACTTAAGACTGCACCAAGATTTTTGGAACATTATATGTCTTTCTCTTGCTTTAACTGACTATACTAGACATTACCAGTATCCTCCTTTAATTATCTGAACCATTTATCACCTAGGTCTCCTCAAAGCAGAAGCTTTTTAATGAAAAGAATATTTTTACACCTATGAATTTTTTGTTTCTTAACAATGAGAATATTTTCACTCCCATATATTCCTGGGTTCTGTTAATAAAATAGTTTTCACAAAATACCTTATTAGTATAGCCAAGTAGATAAGCATTTCCTTTACATTTTTTCCCTGTATAAAAGAAGCTCTGTTAAAAAATCACGTTGAGTTTGTACTCAGAGATATTTTTCTTTGTGGATCTCCTTTGTACTGCAAGTAAAAAAAAATTTGTTGACTATTTTTTTTTTCAGAATTTTATTTCAAGTATCTAACATAATGTGTGTATATATAGGGTGTCCCAAAAGTCTTAGTGTAGTTTTAAGTGTGTGTGTGTGTGTGTGTGTGTGTGTGTGTGTGTGTGTGTGTGTGTAGCATAAGATCTTTAAGAGGAGCAGCTAGGTGGCACAGTAGATAGAGCATAGGCCCTGAAGTCAGGAGGACCTGAGTTCAAATCTGGCCTCAGACACATAACACTTACTAGCTGTGTGACCCTGAGCCAGTCACTTGACCCCATTGCTTAAGCCAAAAAAAAAAAAAAAGATCTTGAAGAAAGGGAAGAAAGCATGTTCTACAGTACCACCATGTTGGTGACCTAGGACAAAGTCTCTCTCTCTGTGCTTGCTATCAGTCAATCAACAAAAATTTATCAAGCCCCTACTATGTCTGAGGCACTATTGATATAAAAGTGAGAAAAAAAAACAGTTCCTGTCCTCAAGGAACTTACATTTTAAGTAACTTGTTTAAGATTATACTGCAAATTAGTGACAAAGCCAGCACTGGAACCAAAACCTTCTGACGCCCATTCCAGGCCCTTCTAGGTCACTACACTAAATTCCACCCAACAGTCCCACTAACTCACCGTTTGGTCTTAGGCAACTCAGTTCTTCTCTCTGGGCCTCAGTTTCTTAACTGGTAAAATGAGAGCACTGGTCTGGATGATCTCAAAGGTCCCATCTAGCTCTTACAATTTATGACTATTTGGAAAGTAGAGTGTCATTTGCAAAGGAATCCTAAAGACCCGACTACCAAAACGCAAGGATGTCTATACTCCTTTATGCCTAAGTGAGGTAGTGGATAGAATGCTGGGCCTGGAATCAGGAAGATTTGAATTAAAATCCCATCTCAGACACTCATTAGCTGTGTGACCCTGGATAAGTCACTTAATGCCTGTCTGCCTCCCTTTCCTCAACTATAAAATTCAGGTAATAATTCCACCTACCTCCCAGGGTTGTTGTAAGGATCAAATGAGATAAAGCACTTAGCACAGTCCCTGGCACATAGTAGATGCTTAATAAATGTTTTTTGACTTCCCTTTCACCAAATCACATTGTTTTCCCACCTCTAAATAGCTTTGCCTTTCCACACCAAAACCTTCCTTTGAAAAGAGCCCAGTTCAAAAGAAAAGAAAAAAAGAAAAAAAATTAAAAAAGAAAAAAAAGAAAAGAGCCCAGTTCAAGTCAGGTATCCCAATCATAGTCTATACACCAATCCCACATCCAAATGTGGGATACCATGGAAAAACAAACACAGAGGGAACATATTGATGTGACAAGGTAAGGACAAGGTAGAATTAGTTGATGGTGTTCTGTTGAAAACAGTTGGCAAGGTCATCGGGATTGTCTGAAAGTGATGTTGTCAGCAAAGCCAAGGAGTTTCCATTAGGGGTGATGGAAAACCTTTGCAAACTTTGGTTTCCAAGGCTTTTCTTTGCAGATGGTGACCAGTGTGAAAGTAAGCCTTGTCAGAATCAAGGGAACTGTAAAGATGGCCTTGGTGAATACACCTGCATATGTATGGAAGGATATGAAGGCAAAAACTGTGAATTTTGTAAGTCCTATTTATCATAGTGCCTTAAAGACCGGTATTATTAAAAGGACAAGTAATGGAGAAGAGGGATGAAGAAGAACAGATTAACACACTTAAATGCTATGCCTTAGAGATTTGCAAATTGCACTGAACTCTTTTATCTGTACCAATGGACTATTGGAGTGGGGAGGGGAGGAAGAGTAACAGAGAGAAGGGAAAAGAAGGGAGAGGAGGCGGGACCTCGGAGGAGAGGGTAATGTATCAGTAAACCAAAAACTCTTCATCCAAAATGTATGTTACTGTTTATTTCTATTGCTAAAGAACAAAAAGAGATTACAGTTATCCCTTCCACATGCAACTTTCCCCATCATAGTTTCGATATATCAAGGGTCACCATAAGAAATTAAATGGAAATTTGGGGAGGGTTTTGCAGAAGCCACAGATGACACATGAAGGCCAACAAATGACACAGAAAAAGTTTAGAAACTCACAAATGCATAATATATATATATATATAGTATTGTCTAATATCAATGTATTTTATCTTTTAATACCATAAGACTTAATACTATACCATAAGACTTCTTCTTTGGTATGAAGGGAGGACCAAAAAATTTTATGTGGATTTTCCAGACTGAGAGGACGCTGCACCTTTAATGCCCACAAGGTGGAAAGGATAACTGTACTTTTAAGGAAATCTGGAATGTCCCTCATTAACAAAATAAGGAATTTGGGACATGTTTTTATATGCTTTGAGTACATCTTGGGAAGTGTATAAACCACTTATTGTCCTTTGGAGACAGTCTAACTATGGAAGGACATTCAGGCCACAGAATTATCATCAACAATCATTTATTAAGTACCCACTAGATGCCAGGCACTCTGCTGGGCACTGGTTATATTCCAAGTTAAAAATTAAATAGTCCCTACCCTCAAGGAGCTTACATTCTATGGGGGAAATAATATGCACACAAACAAGCTCATGTAAAATATCTACAAGGTAAGTTTAGGGGTTCCATAAATATATTGTATTCACTCTAACTTTTGTGGGTCAGTGTAATATAACCAAATATTGCCCCAGTAACACAACCCCCTTCTTTCCTGGTTAATAGACAGACTGTCTCCAGTGTTAGGTTTAAGTCCTCAAAGCATACATGCAAGCAAAACAAAACAAAATATCAAAAGGCACAAAAAAGCACAAAATTATTATAGGTCACTGAGTAAAGTTGGGATGGAATTAGCATGGGGCACCGGAAAGGACATTAGATGGAGTCAGAGGACCACAAGAGGGTCATGTCTGGTTTCTGCTACTTACCAGATATGCAGCTTTGGGCAAGTCACTTGCTATGTCTGAGTCTCAGTTTCTCCATCTGTAAAATGAAGGTTGATCCAGCTGATCTCCCAGATCTCTTTCAGTTCTAAATTTACAATCCTATAGGCCTTCCACCCAGCACACCAGAATGCTGTTAATGATGATGATGATGATGGGGGCAGGGGGAGAGGGAGGAATCCTTGGCTACTTAAAACTTCAGAGACCGTAGACTTTTCAGAATTGGGGGATATGGGAGCACAACATGGCAACCAGGTGCTCTTGCTCCCCCTTCTGGAAAAGTTGATGGCTCCCCCAAAACACTGAAGTAACCTGAATTTGGGCCACACTGACACTTCCACCAAGTCTGACATGCTTCTCTCTTGGGCAGCAAAACTAACACTCTGCAGCTTGGATAATGGAGAATGTGACCATTTCTGCAAAGAAGAAAAGAGCACCGTAGTGTGCAGCTGTGCCAGTGGCTACACCCTGGGAGATGACAGCAAATCCTGTATCCCTACAGGTAGGAAGTTGAAACAGCAGGGGTAACTGGGGATGTCTTCTCTAGAAAACCAATGTAGTGGAGACACTGTGTAGTTCATTGAAAAGGGCTCTGGATTGAAAGAACCTGGGTTCAAATCCTGGCTCTAATATTTACCATCTGTATGATTTGGGGCAGATTACTTAACTTCTCTGGTATCCATTTCCTCATCCTTGAAAATGAGGGGTTTGAAGTAGATAGCTTCAGAGCTTCTTCCTGTATCTAAGTCTATGAGAGGGGTAGAGTATCAGAAACAGAGAAGAGAGCAGTGATGTTTATCAGTTGGAAGGGACAGAAACATTCTCAAATGGTTTGATAGTGAGATAAATGGGCCCCCAAAGTAGCTATAAACTAGAGGATGGTTAAATTCAACGGCAACCACTCAGAAAGGTAAAGAAAAGACATGAAGCAGGATGTAGAGAGTTCCAAGGAATACATGTCCCAAGGAGAAAGCAATTAAAATGATTAAGAGATTTGGGGATGAGGATAGAGGAGAGTTCTTTGAAAGATGAGGATTTGGATGGGATATTTGTTCAATGTAACAGCTCACTTCTCCAGCATGTAGCATTTTAAGATTTGTAAGAAATTTTACAGACTTTTTTCATTTGTACCTGTGAGGTAGATGTAACCTCACTTTATGGGTGGACACTGTGAATGAGAGAAATGATTTAAACAGGGTTACCCTGGTTAAGTGTCCAGTACTAAGGCAAGCCTCAAACCCAAGTCTTCTTGACTCAGTCTAGCACTCAACCCACAAAGTCATGATCTATCTCAAGAAATATAAATATAAAATCATGAAGTGTGCAGATGGGATGAATATGGACTTTTTCACCAAAACCCTGAATACTAGAACAAGCAGCTATTTCTTGAAGTTTGATAGTCATGCATTTTTTGGCAACAAAAGGACACTTTACGTAGTGAGCAATAAATATTGGCAAATCACTTCACCTGTCTTAGACAATTTCCTCATCATAAAAAGGAGATGTTAACACATGGTATCTGTGTATCTCACACAGACACCGTGAGAAAAAACACTTTGTTAAAATGCTATGTAAATGTAAGCAAGAATTGTAATTACTGTTTTCCTGAGAGGCAGCGCAAACTAAAACATAAACAGGCTCAATGATGGTATAAATTAATTCATTAATAATAGATCCATTTTGCCATGATCTAGTAACACCAGGCAATGAGATTCCTATAGAGAAATGGCATTGCATTAATAAGCTCTGCCCTAAACACCAACACAGCATCTGGAATGGATTTAGAAAAAATACTGGTAGGGGAAAATGTGATTTCATTGGTGCTGGGACCCTCACCAGGCCATTGAAAAGAAAAAATAGATAGTCCCTGCTCTCAAGGAGCTTACAATTTAATAGTGAAGATATTGCACAAAAGAAACTCAGGTTAACTGAAAGCATTGTTGGCACCAATCTAGTACAAGATGATGTGGATGATATGAACTGCATCCCATTCCCACATAATTTGGATCACCTCCATAATGTTGTTCTATATAGTCTGGAGTTTGAATATTCAATATGGTAGCATCTAACAAAAAGTTGTCCTCCCCTCCCAAAATGATAAATCTGTGACAGTTTATTAAATGAAGGGAAGTTGTTTTAGGCCAGACACATCAAACACACAGCCCACACAGTACTTCCAAGTGTAGCCAACACGAGATTAAAACACAATTGGGAAATAGTTAAAAAATAAGTAAAAATACAATAGAACATAGATAATATTTTAAGTAGTTTTCTAAGTCAATATGCAACAAAGATCCTAATGTACGGCTTAGTGGCCCACTTTTTATTAGAGTATAAAACCACTATTTTAGGCAATAGCCTTACCTTCTTGGGGAAAAGCACAGCCATACTGTCCCACAACATATCCCTTGACACCAGGGTTAGGGTACAAATCCTTCCTGGAAATCCTTCTTGACCTAGAACTAAATAATGGGTGGAAAAGCCTTTGATTCACACCTGTCCCCATTGCAGTGTCCCAGTATGGGTCTGGTGGAGCCATGGTATCTAACTGGGACATCCTCTTGCCCTGGCTCCCATCTCTTCTCATAATCTTCTTCATGTTCCTTTCCCTCTCAATGTTGTCATCCTCATTCTCCTCCCTCTTCTTCTTGTCTGTGTCTTTACCTGTCTTCTCCTTCCTCCACCCCTCCCATCCCTGACATGTAGGACTGGAATATATTCCTACTGCCTTTGGGTATTTCAAGGGTCTAGGACTTGGTCCTTATGAGCACCCTTTATGATTTGGTGAGTGTTGTTGTCGAGCCATTTCAGTTGTGTCCAACTCTTCGTGACCCTACTTGGGGTTTTCTTGGCAAAAATAGTGGAGTGGCTCACCATTTCCTTCTCCAGCTCACCTGACAGATGAGGAAACTGAGACTCAGGGTTAAATGACTTGCCTGGGGTCACACAGCTAGTAAGTGTCTGAGGCTGGATTTGAACTTGGGAAGGTGAGTCTTCCTGTCTCTAGGCCTGGCACTCTATCTACTACGCCACCCCCTTAAGAGTCACTATGGCTAAAAAAATTATAATCCTGTGCTGAGTGAAGTGGCAGAACCAAGAGGACTTTGTATACAATAACAGCCATGTTATGCAATGACTAATATTGTTAAACTGAACCCTTCTCAGCATTACAAGGATCTAAGACATCTCCAGAGGCCTCAGGATGGAAAATGCTGTCCACATCCAAAGAAAGAACTATGGAAGTCGAATCACTATCACTTATTTTTACCTTCTGTTGAGTTTTGTTTCATCTTTCTGATGGTTCCTCCTATTGGTTTTAATTTTTACTTACAACTTCACTAATGTGAAAATATGTTTAATGGGTATGTAAATGTAAAGCCTATATCAGATTGTGTGCCATCTTGGGGAGGGTGGGGGGGAGGAAGGGGGAGAAAAATTTTCAACTCAAAAGCATATGGAAGTGATTGCTGATAAATCAAAATAAATTAATAAAATTTAAAAGAAATTTATAATCCTGCAGCCAACCTGGTGCTTAGCTTCATTTAGTAGTACTCCTAGCTTTTCCGGTTTAGTAGGACCTATAAGCATGAAGTTGTACTCATCCAGGTGTACAAGGGGTAAAAGACCTGGACCTGGAGTCAGAAAGACTTGATTTCAACTTCCTCCTCAGATGCTTAATAACTGTGTGGCCCTGGGCAGATCATTTAACCATTCCTAGCCTCAGTTTTCTTATCTATAATATGGGGATAATAATAACACTTAAGTCATAGGATGGTTGTGAGGTTCAAATGAGACAACGTATGCCCAGCCCTTTGCAAAACCTTGAAGTGCTATTTAAATGCTAGTTCTTATTATTAGCTAGCCAAGGCTCTGCAGAACCATTCCACAATGAGGCATCAGAGTAGAACTTTTAGTGAGGACATTTTCATTATCAGTGCATCTACTCAATAAAGTTTCCTATTTTTAAAAAGTAAAAAAGTTAATCAGTTTCTATTTCTTTCTCCTCTAACAAGCTGCTTTTTAGTTGTGTATAATTGACTTCTCTCTCCACCCACCCCTCCCACCCCCACCAGGGAACTATCCAGAAATAGTCAAGAGACTTGGGATAATCAACCCCAGGGGCAGCTAAGTGGCACAGTGGATAGAGTACTGGGCCTGGAGTCAGGAAGACTCATCTTCCCAAGTTCAAATCTGGCCTCAGGCCCTTACCAGCTATGTGGCCCTGGGCAAGTCATTTAACCCCGTTTGCCTCAGTTTCCCCATCTGTCAAATGGACTAGAGAAGGAAGTTACAAACTACTGCAGTATCTTTGCCAAGAAAACCCCAAATGAGGTCACAAAGAGTGGGACCCCAGAATAACTAGATCTAAGAATTAACTTGTACCTAGTTTGTGAAGCTGTCTAAGGGACTCTCCCTTTGAAAGTCAAGAGATAGATAGGATCACTGCAATACTCTCTGAAGGTAACTGACAGGAGCATTGCTTGTATGATTTGGGGACATTTTCAAACATCTAGCATTCTCTTTTTTTCTTTCAGAACCCTACCCATGTGGAAAATACACAGTGGAAAGAAGGAAGAGGTCAGTCACAGAACCTGCCACGCAAAGTATCCCTTCTCCAGACTTATATGAAAATCTACCTGAAGAATTGGAAACAGAGACCCTGACTCCCACAAAGGATCCCTTATATGGACTCTTCCCAAATTACACAGAAACTGAAGATGATGGAGATGATTTCATAAGGATTGTTGGAGGAAGAAATTGCAACGAGGGAGAATGTCCGTGGCAGGTAATTATGGTTTGTTCCGATGCAGTGAAAATCTGCTTTGATATCTCTCAATTTCATGAAGTTAACTAATATGGTCATCAGTGGTCAAAATGTCCCATCAATATGTATTACCGTCTAAGCTATCCTTATCCTTGTGATAAGTGTTGAACCAAAGAGAACCGTCATCTTAGGTCAATTTCACTTTGTAAAATAAGGTAGTATGATGGAAATAGAAGAATGCTGGATTTGTAGCCTAGAGGACCTGGGTCCAAATCCTGCCTCTGCCAATTGTGAAAATTTGGGCCTTAGTTTCCTCATCTGTAAAATCAGAAGGCTATATTAGGTGACCTCTTGTACAGTCCCATATAGTTCTAAATCCGAGATCCTATGATCTAAGAATTTTCTGTCTTAGCCAAACGCTCTGACAGGGCACACATGTGGAAGAAAGACAAGACAATAAAAACATCTGTGCAAATACTATAGGCGTGGCCTACAAAATACAGGGTTCCACATTTGTTCCTTACCCTAACATTGGTACCATGTCTTTAGAAGGCAATATTGTTGTTATTGTTTAGTCATTTCAGTGCTGTCTGACTCTTTGTGACCCCATTCGGGGTTTTCTTAGCAGAGATACTAGAGTGGTTTGCCATTTCCTTCTCCAGCTCATTTTATAGATGAGGAAACTGAGGCAAATAGGGTTAAATGACTTGTCCAGGGTCACATAGCTAGTAAGTGTCTGAGGCCTGATTTGAACTCAGGAAGATTCCCAGGCCAGTGCTCTATCCACCATGTTAGAAGGCAACAACTCAATGAAAAGAGAAGGTTATAAGAACACAAAAAGCTAGATCTTCAAAACAAGGTAGTTTTTAAAAAGGAGTTCCTCAAACTAATTGATTAATCAATAAGCATGTATTAAATGCTTACTGTGTGCCAGGAACTATGCTAGGCTTTGAGGAAACATGAAAATGAAATAATCCCTTCCTTCAAGGAGCTTACTTATTCTACCAGGAGAGATAGAATGTGCCGAAATAAGAACCCACAAAATAAATAAAGTAAGTTGGGGTGGGTGGGGTGTGGAAGGCATCACTTGAGCAAAGTTTTGAAGGAAACGAGGGATTCTAAGAGGTGGTGATGAGGTGAGAGTTCATTTCAGGCATGGGGGACAGCCAATGCAAAAGCTTGGAGATGAGATTGGAAGTTGTGTATGAGGAATAGAAAGAAGGTTAATTTGACTGGACAATAGGGTCTGGGAAGAGGAATATTGTAAAAATAAGGTTGGAAAGGCAGATGGGAGCCAGGTTGTGAAGGGCTTTAAAAGCTAAACAGAGCAGCTGAAGTTTGATAAAACTGTAGCCTGGAACTTGCTCCAAGGGCAAAAGAGAAGGATGCTCATGGTTCCCCACGGCCTCACTGGTTTATTTTTCCTGGTCCACTTCCAGGAGGCATTCAAAGGACTTATTGCATTCCATACTTCAGTCAAAGAACTTCATTCAGTTCCTGCCAAAGTACATGAGGTACATTTGAACATCATCATGACAGATAAGCTAGCATTTACATAGCACCTACTATGTGCTAAGGGATTTACAAATATGATCTCATTTGATCCTTACAACAACCCTGAGATGTAGGGTTACTTCCCCCATTTTACAGATGAAGAAACTGAGGCAAAGAGAGGTTAAGTGACTTGCCCAGGATCAGACAGCTAGTAAGCATCTGGGGTGGGATTTGAATTCAGGTATTCCTAAATCCAGGCCCAGCACGCTATCCACTGTGCCACCTAGTTGCAAATATACATCAAACATAAACTGCAACATTGAAAACAACAAGAATAATTATCCCACCTTCTTGGGTAAGCATCTCAAAGTACTATTTGCATCACATCCACATTAATATTACATGAATTAGACATAGCACAATGCAAAGCCCGTCTGGACCAGTTGCTCCATTAACTAAATTACTAAATTATATGCAGGACATATCAGGTGCACACATAACAGTGGTATATGTGTACCCAGAGTAAGTAAGCAACTAAGCAGAACTAGCAAAAACAAGGCATAGTTAGCAGCGAGCGCTGCAGAATGGAAATAGTGCTTCTAGGTCTCTAGAGTAACAACCCATGCATAATTATTAGTAAATTTAGCAAAAAAATGCAAGCCTCAAAAGGATGCATCACTAATAGTCAAATATAGCCACAATATAAGCAGAATACCACACACAGGCAAACAAATATTAACATCACATTAACAAAAATATAAATAAGAAAGTCTGTGATAATTGACACTTTATCAATATACACAAATACATTCATTTACACGTAGAGCATATTTTGCATCCATAAGCATTAGTGTTGTCATTTGGCATATGAGTAACCAATTTTCCTGCCCTACCTCCATTCCCCCATTATAACATCATAAATTAGCCTAGTCACAGATGAGATGGGTCTGGCTCTTTTGGGAGCCACTGACCTTTCAGTAACCCTACCTGAGCTGCTGGATAGTATGTGGGTGGGACATGGGTGCTCCCAGACCAGTAAGCCTTCATTCCCAAACCTGGGCTTGGAAATGGTCCCAGCTAAATATTAACTTTTTTAAACACTCTAGATTGCCTAGGGTCTCCACAGCTGAAGGAATAGGCAGGAAAGAAGCTACTTTAGGTTAGCCACCTCTTACCCTCATCAGGTCCCAAAGTGTCTCTCAATCTAGGGGAACGAGTAATTACAGTATATAGTATTTTCTTTACTTGAAACTTCACTTTCTGATCTATTATCTGACTTAGCCTCTCTACAGCTGGTGGGAAGTCTCTTAGAGTACAGTTTAACCAATTGTCCATCATTTCTTTTGGGCTGCTCATCAAAGAGTCCCCTATAGGCAATAAGTGGTTTTTGGTTTTTTTTAATTATTATTATTATTAATAATAATAATAGCTCACATTTATATAACAATATCAATAGGTATTAAGTGCCAACTCTGTCCCAGGCACTGAGATAGGTACTAAGAATACAACCATAAAATTGAGATAGAAATCCTCAATCAGCTTACATTCTTTAAAAAAATAAACTCTCTAGTGCTACTTTATTTTTTAATTAAACTTTTAAAAATTAACAGAAATCTATTTTTCCCTCCCATCTCAGACCCCATTGAGAAAGAAAAAGAAAAACAAAACCATTATTTCAAATATGCTTAGTTAAGCAAAACAAATTCCCTCATTGGCCATGTTCAAAAAATGTCTCATTCTGCCTCTGAGTCTACAATCTCTTTGTCAAGAGGTGGAATCCTGGATTGGCATTGCATTGATCAAAGTTCTCCAACTTTTTCTTTAGTGGCCCATACGTAAGAAGATATTCTGGAGGTAACTGAAGCTGGATTTTCCATACTCAAACCAGTTCTCAAATTTTCCTATTTTTTTCAGCGTCTGGTCGCAGTTCAACCATCTAAGTCCTATGAATGATGTCATTTGATCAGGAATGACAGGCTTGCCAAATGCAGGGTCAGGTCTCAGAGCAAAGAAGAGTAATTAACTTATTTAAATAATTTTGGAGTGCATACTAAATCATACGCAAGAGCTCTGCTAGGTGAGAGAGAATAGGTTAAGAGTATGAAGGCTGAATGTCCTCTATGGAAAAAGGGAGAAATTGCAGCCTTTGGGAAAGTCGAAATATATGCACTGAATACCCCCTTCATATAGCCACTGGGCTGTTGGCCTAAGGCTAGCGCCATCTGGTGGCCAAAATATATACTATCCTCCATACTTAGTTATTTGATTAATCAATTAAGTGATAGCCTGCTTGTCTGTAGGTTAGAGAAAGTAGTGTAAAAAACTAGGCGTGGGTGATGATAGCACCCCACCAAATGCACACGTAGCATACACATATGCACACCCACAAACACCCACCATTTGTCACATAATAGCACATTTATATAATGTGAAGGTTTGTGAAGAGGTTTCATCACAACCTCATCAAATAGAAAAAGACAAAACATGCTTTAGCAGTTCAGAGAAGAGTGAGATCACAAGGAAAGTCTTCATAGAGAAGGTAGCATTGAAGCTGGGCCTTGAAGAATGGATGGATCTTGGAAGGTCTGACGAGAGACAACTGTCCAGGCAGAAAGAACAAGATCAAAATCTTGGACAGGAAGTTGTGACTTAAACTTTCTGAAATTCACTCATTTAGCAAGTTTTGATTTGTGTTGTTGTTTTTACTATGCTATGGTTTTGCATGGCAGACTGTGTTAGTTTTAGGTAACAAAAGTGTTTGGGGGAAGATGCTATTAACTTAATTGCAGAGATTTTTAATTAATTTGCAGAGGGCAAGCAGAGAATGAACTGTTTTTAATGGAAGGGGAAGGAAGAAAAAGAAGGACAAGATAAAAAATTTCATTAATGGTGTTAACAGCTGCTTAATCCCATAACCATGGTTCAGTGCTAACAGCCTTATCATTTTCATCAGAAAACATTGCTCATCAGGTAGAAATTTTGCCAGTTTAAGGTTGTGAATAATTTCATTACTTCTATCTATTTTCAGGGGAAAAAGTATTGCCACATATTTGGAAAGATAGTCTACACAAGTAGGTCAGATTATGAGCTAATAGACATTTTTTTAAAAGTTCTATGCTTGATTATACGTATTTGTTACAAGATTTTTTTTTCCCTTCTCAATTTTCAATTGGGCAGGAAAGGGTTTTTTTTCTGGGGGGAAGGATAAAGGGGATAAGAAATAGTGATACTCAAAAAAAAAGGATCTTTGCAACTTTTAAAAAAAATAACAGAAGCAAACAGAAGGAAGTTCAGAAGAAAGCACAAAGAGGACAGTTTTGAAAGTAATATGTGGAATTTACTACATACTTTAAAAAAAACCCACATGATATGAAAAAAAGATTCAGTTTCACCCACAATTCTTTTCATGTGGCAACTACACATATGGAAATTTTCCTTTTCCTTTTTTTTTTTTTTGGTGCTTAGGTTCAGAATTTAAAAATTAAATGTAAAAGAGTTGCTAGCTAGACTCTAGTAATGAAAGACTTTAATAGTTTGTATTTTCAGAGCATTTTATAATCATTAATTCATTGATTCACACAGAGCTAACGTGGATCTATGATAATTGTTGAAGTATCCCAAAGCATCTAGTGGTAAATGGCTAGAGTAGTAGAGAGAAGATTACAAGTCTTGTCTCCGTAGCTTACCAGCTATGTCACATGGGACAAGTCACTTAAAACTTTTCTTTTCTTCTTCTTCTTCTTCTTCTTTTTTTTTTGGCAATTGGGGTTGAGTGACTTGCCTAAGGTCACACAGCTAGAAAGTGTCAAGTGTTTGGTCTGAGGTCACATTTGAACTCAGGTCCTCCTGACTTCAGGACGGGTGCTTTATCCACTGTGCCACCTAGCTGCCCCCTTAAAAGTTTCTTGACCTCAGTTTCCTCATCCTGAAAATGTGAGTGATAATACTTGTCCTACCTATTTCTCAGGGTACTTATGATAGCTTTGTACATTGTAAGGCACTTTGGAAATATGAGCTATTGGCCTTCTGATAAAGAAAGGATGATTTAAAACTCTTCATACCAGAACCAAGCTTTGCTAAAATTATGAGATAATTAAAGTTTGTCTTTGTTGCCTCTGCCTCTTCCCCTTTTCTTAGCATCTTTTCCCCCAAGGTACCTGAGCCCTCATGCTATTCCTATGAAGAAGAGAACAGATAAAAGAGGAAAATGTGATATGTCACTAACCTCGAATCAATTTGATGTTATCCCTTCCAGAATATTTGCATTTTAATTTAAAATTTTTTTTTAGGCAGTTGGGGTTAAGTGACTAGCCCGGGGTCACACAGCTAGAAAGTGTCAAGTGTTTGGTGTGAGGCCAGATTTGAACTCAGATCCTCCTGACTCCAGGGCTGGTACTCTATCCACTGCACCACCTCGCTGCCCTGAATATTTGCATTTTAAAGGCAGGCAGCAGGAAGGAAAATACAAAGAGATTAACCTCTTATGGCTGAACTTTAGATTCTGTGGCACTTGAGAGAGCTAAATATTTGAAGGCATTGCAACCTGTCTAATGTCCCTAAAATTACACTACAGAGACAAAAACTTTCTCTTTTTCAAAAGTACTGCCTAGTTCTGTGTAACAACCACAGCCCATGATGCTGAGAACGTACTAAAGAAGTAGGAAAAAAAATCCCTACTCTTCAGATAACAAATATATTCTAAATACAGGCTTCACTCAGGAAGATTTGGGGTAAAGTATTCAGATCTATATAATAAACTAATACAGGGACTATTTTGAGTTCTCCCATTAGGAAATAGCATGAGTAAAGTGGCATTTTAGGAAGAATAACAATACAGTTTCATAGATTAGAATAGGAAGGTGGCCAGAGTCAGGGAGGCTAATGAAGAAGTTACTGGCAACAGTTCAGATGTAAGGCAAGTAGAGGCAAGACTCAGATTGTATAGTTAGATCAGAATCCCAGGATTCCAGAGTGGTAAGGACCTTCATAGCCCACCTACAACAGTCCATAACTTAATACGGCACCCCTGCTTATCCTCAACCCTTGAGGTACTTTATCATAAATTCCCACCAAAGGAATCAATAGACTGGCACCTTCAAATCACCTGCTCCCCATAACTTGTTTCAAACTATCTGTGATTTCTTTATTGAACTTTTTTTAATTTATAAAAATTCCTGTAATTTCTTCAGTATAGAGAATACAATTCCTCCATCCCATATGATCTCACAATTTTTGATCCAAACTTGTTTCAAACTATCTGTAATTTTGTAATTGAAAAATAATTTTAACTCAAAAAGCCCCCTGTGATTTCTTTAGTATGAGGACTACAACCCCTCCACCTCAAGTGACTTTATAAATACAAGTTAATCAATCAATAAATATTTAAGTGCCTACTATGGCCAGGCTTTATGCTAAGAACTGCTATGTTAATCAAATAGACAAAGTTTAGCCAGAGTTGCCTCTTTCTTTCTTTCTCTCTTTCTCTCTCTCTCTCTCTCTCTCTCTCTCTCTCTCTCTCTCTCTCTCTCTCTCTCTCTCTCTCTCTCTTTCTTTCTCTCTTTCTCTCTTTCTTTCTCTCTCTTTCTCTTTCTCTCACCTTCTCTCGCCTTCTCTCACCTTCTCTCTCTCTCTTTCTTTCTCTCTCTCTCTCTCTCTCTCTCTCTCTCTCTCTCTTCCTCTCTTCCTTCCTTCCTTCCTTCCTTCCTTCCTTCCTTCCTTCCTTCCTTCCTTCCTTCCTTCCTTCCTTCCTTCCTTCCTTTCTTTCTTTCTTTCTTTCTTTCTTTCTTTCTTTCTTTCTTTCTTTCTGAACAGTGATGATTTTGCTTTCAACAGCCTTCCCTTTGATCAATCAAGCATACAAACACTTATTATTAAGTTCCTACTATGTGCCAGGTTCTGTGCTGGGTGTCAGGGACACAAAGGTGAACATGAAATGGTACCTGCTCTCAAGGAGGTTATATTCTATTCTAATTTTTAGATAAAATTTTATTGATGCCGTTTGTTTTTACATCACAGTAATCTCCGGATATATCCCCCTAAATCAGCCAGTGTACCTGTTACAAATTAAAACAGCTTAACAAGACCAACTCACTCAGGGATCTCATCTGACAACATCTGCAACCAGTCTTCTATGCCCTGTGTATGGTCTTCGACTTCTCCAATAAAAAGAGAGAGATCCAGTCTTTTCTTTGAATATTTATTTTGAAATTAATGATATTCTTCTTGCAGGCTCTTCTCATAGATGAGAACAAAGAAGGATTCTGTGGAGGTACAATATTGAATGAGTACTTTGTCCTTTCTGCTGCTCACTGCATGTTCCCATTGAAGAGATTCCAAGTATTGGTAGGTAAGTGACTACAATTCACGGATCACATCAGTGACTGAAATTAATATGAGCAACGGCCACAAATCTCTCATGGTGAATGTCTTTCCAATCTAATCCATTATTAAGTGCCTACTATGTGCAAGACATTATGTCCTTAAGGAGCTTACATGCTACAGGCAAGTGGTGGGAAGAGAGTAAAGGGAAGTAGAAATTGCTTTCTATGACTAACTCTTGTATATTTTTCCTGAATATTATTTCCCTTGTTGGTTCTCATATCTGCTCTGTTACAAAGTGCCATCTTCATATATGAAAAATAATCAAATACATGTTAGTATGAAAGATTGCATAAAGTAGTGAATGGAGGATTGGCCTTTGGCACATACTACTTACGTCACTAAACCTCTCATGGCTCCAGGCAACAGCCTGAGACTATAAGTTACATAGGATTTGCTGATCTGTATCTGATACAGTTTCCATACCAGAAGGTCCCCACACTATTGACCAAAAAAAGTATCCAAGTCCAGATGCGTGTATCTATCTATCTATCTATTTGCATGTATACATGCACTGAGGCATGTATACATATATACTAGCTATTTCTTTAATGTGGTTCTTTGAAAAAGTGGCTGATCCGGCAAAGGGCTTTGGGATCTGTTGCACTACTTGTAGTTGGACTCTAGTTCAGCCACCAAAACCATAATAAGTGTGACTTATTCACATGAGTGTTCTCTGTCTCTGTCTCTATGTTCCTTTCTGCCTCTGGCTCTCTTTTTACCTCTATCTCTTTCTGTAACTCTGTCTCTTTCTCTGTGACTGTCTCTCCCTTTCATTTCCTCCTCTTCTTCTTCCTCCTCCTTTCTTCTTCTTCTTCTTCTTCTTCTTCTTCTTCTTCTTCTTCTTCTTCTTCTTCTTCTTCTTCTAATTCTTCTTCTTCTAATTCTTCTTCTCTTCTCTCTCCTCTCTCTCTCTCTCTCTCTCTCTCTCTCTCTCTCTCTCTCTCTCTTCTCTCTCTCTCTCTCTCTCTCTCTCTCATAAATATTCAATACCATTTCACAAGTGGGTATCCAAATTTAAGGCTAACTCCAAAGCAGCTCACTTTCTTTCACTTATAACAGCTTATGTATATGAAGTGTTTCATGGTTTAGCACAGGCAATGCTGCATAGTGGTTAGAGGGACATCTCAGAGCCAGGAAGATGATTACCAGCTATGTGACTCTGGACAAGCCATTTAAACTCCCAGTGACCCCAGGCACCTCTCTAAGCCTAGAAGTGACAGACAACTTCCCCATCCTGGGATTTCTCCACATGGATGAAATCATGGGTCTAGACTAAAGGAAGTGAGTGGAGGTGGGGTGGGGGGGAGCATCATGAAATACTTTCCCACTAATCCTGCAAATTTTGCAATTATTACTTATTCACGCTTTACAGATAAGGAAATAGAAGTTTAGGGACTTGCCCACAGTGGCACAACTAAAACGCTTTGGAGTCCATCCTTAAAATCCAGATCATCTGATTCTGAGTCTGTTGGTCATTATACTACTCTAACTTGTTTTTCAAATATTGTTCTCTTCTACTTTCACGATCACTTAGCAGGTCCTTATTAAATACCAACTCTGCCTCTAGCTCTAAGACAACATGACCACTTCCTTCTTATTTTCTGGGCAAAGGGAAGTTAAATGGCCAGCAGCAGGGGGACAGTAGGAGGGTGGAGAAGGGGCTGGAAAATCTACAAACTATACAATTCATCTTAAGTCATCAAGAATTGGCAGAGGTTCGAGACTCATCTTTGGTTGCTAATTTTTTTTGTTTGTTTTATTTGTTTTGGGATCTTTTTTTGAGACTGGGCCCCCATCTCACTCAGGCTAGCCGTACAACAGCCACCTGTGGCTGGTCTCCAATATTGGTTGACATGGAAGCTTTGACCTCCTTTTTTCTGACCTGGGACATTTTGTTCCTCCAGGCTGTGAGCCCCTTGACAGCAGGGACTGTCTTTTTTTCTTTCTTATGCCCAGTGCTTAGGACAGTGCCCAGCATACAGTAGGCAATTAATAAATGTTGACTGACTTTCTGGTGACTCCCCCCCACTCCTGAGGATTCATCATATTAATGCTGGACTTAGCGTGGACCCCTTTAGTCCTGCGCTTCTCAGACCTCCCAAACTCAAGTAATCCACCAGTCTCAGCCTCCCCAGGAGCGAAAACTACAGAAATGGGCTGCCATGTCTGGCCAGTTCCTGGTGGTTTAGATAAAATTGCCTTTTTCTGAAGCACCAGGCAGCATGGTTTCTCTGTAAATAATAATAATAATAATAATAACAGCCAGCTTTAATAATAACAATAAGGATAATAGCATGCATTTATATAGCACTTTTATTAAAATATTTTTAAAGTACTTAACCCAGTGCCTGGTACATAGTAGGTGCTACATAAATGCTTATTCCCTTCCCATCCCTTCCCCACTTTAAAGTTTGCAAAGCACTTTCTACGTTATCTCATTTGATCCTCATAACAACCTTGTGAGGCACGTGATAGTATTACCTTCATTTTATAGATGAAGAATTGGTACTCAGGTTAAGAAGACCTGCTAATAAGTGTCTAAGGCGGGATTCAGACTTGGCTCTAGCCACTGCACCAACTAGCTGCCTCGGTGAATCAATCAGTGAGCCCTTCCTAAATACCTGCCATGTACCAAGGACTATATACCCAGCATGGTGAGGGAGACAAAAGAAACATAAGGTGGCGTTATAGGATTTAGGACTAGAGGGAACCTTAAAAATTATCTGCTATAACCACGGTGGCAGGTAGGTGGTAAAGTGGATAGAATGCCAGGCCTGAAGTCAGGAAGAGTCATCATCATGAGTTCAAATCTGGCCTTAGACACTTCCTAGCTGTGTGAATCTGGACAAGTCACTCAACCTTGTTTGCCTCAGTTTCCTCATCTGTAAAATGAGCTGGAGAAGGAAATGGCAAACCACTCCCGTATCTTTGCCAAAAAAACCCAAATGGGGTCATGGAGAGTCAGACATAACTGAACAACCATATAACCTTCTCATTTTACTGACGAGGATTCCAAGTCCCAGAAAGGGAAAGAGATGTGTTATCCAGCTTGTAGGCTGCAAAGCCAGAACTTCACTCTCATCTCTATCCTGGCACAGTACAAATGGATATGGGTGGGACGACCTGAGTCCAAGTCTCCACTTTTATCCCTTTAGTTACGTGACCTTAAGCAAGTCCCTTAAACTCTTTGAGACCCAGTTTCCACATCTATAAAATAAGTGCTGGACATGGAGTTGGAAAACTGGATTTTGAATCCTTTATCTAATACCTACAAGTTATGTGATTATGGGCCTCTATAAATCTGTTTCCTTTTCTATAACATGGGGATAATAAGCTCTTTATTTTCCTTTTCATAGAATCTCTATGAGAAAAGTGCTATAAAAATCTGCACCCTTGTAATTACCTACCTCGCAATATTGCTTTACTGAATTCAGTTCTACAAATGTATATTCAATGCCTGCCATCTGTTGTGCTGGTCCCTGGAAGAGATACAAACTTTAGCTAAGGCACAGTGCTTGCCCTCAGAGAACTCGTAGTCTAATCAGATCAAAAATACGGTGTATATGAAATGAGCACTAGCTAAATTCTGCTGCTATTGCTATCATTATTATTAGGGAGTAAAACCCACATGATTACAAAAGCCTCCTAAATGAAAACAAACTAATACAGACCTTACGGATTCTTAATCACTCCCTCATAGGTGAGCGGAACACCGAAGTCGAGGACGGTAATGAAGAGGCCCATGAAGTAGAGAAGATCTTGGCACACAAAGGATTCATCAGAGAAACTTACGACAATGACATCGCTCTGATCAAGTTAAAGAAACCGATCCGCTTCCGAAGGAACGTAGCTCCCGCATGCTTGCCAGAAAAGGACTGGGCTGAGGCAGTTCTGATGAATCAGAAAACAGGCATTGTCAGTGGCTTTGGGCGCATCCATGAAAAAGGCCGCACTTCCTCCATACTCAAGATGCTCACAGTCCCCTATGTTGATCGGAACACATGCAAGTTGTCCAGTACCTTCACCATCACCTCCAACATGTTCTGTGCTGGCTACGAAAACAAACCTGAAGATGCCTGTGAGGGAGACAGTGGAGGCCCACATGTGACCAAGTATAAGGACACTTATTTTGTCACTGGAATTGTCAGCTGGGGAGAAGGATGTGCCAGGAAGGGAAAATATGGAATCTACACAAAAGTCACAGCCTTCCTTGGATGGATAAAAAAATCCATGAGAACAAGGAAAGCTCAGTAGAACTGGCTGAGGCTTCTTCAGTCAGTGGTCAGCTCCCCTTCTAGTCCTTCTCATCTGACCAAGTGCTTCCTCTATAGGTTAGTTCCAGTTACTGCAGAACATTCTCATTAAACAGAATTCTACTCAAGTGATTATGCTCTTCCTCTGTGGTTTGAATCCATGATTAGGTTTCCAAGTCTCAAAAGGGAAGATTCAGCACAACTCCATACCCTCTCAGAGCAATATCATTATTCTGATGCCACTTCAGGTTTTCCTTAAATTGCTAAATTGCCATCTGGTCTGTTGTTCACATTGGTTTTCTCTTATTCAATTTGAAGTGGGAAAATTCCAGTCTAGACTGCTCATTCTCACCTTGCCCTTGCCAGCTTGGATAGATTTTCTTTTAGAAATCCCAGCACATTTTGATAGAAATCTAGAGTATCCTGACTGTCCCTACTGTTTCATAAGAAGTGCCATTTAAAAATAAAATTTTAAAATTTTGTATTAGCACAGTCTTTTTCTTTACTTGGCAATGTTTTATTTCATCAGCCATGTATGATGGCGCTTTGGTAGGTCATTTTGTTGTTTGATCATTTCTGTTGTGTCTGACTCTTTGTGACACCATTTGGGATTTTCTTGGCAAAGATACTGGAATGGTTTGCCATTTCCTTCTCCAGCTCATTTTACAGATGAGAAAACTGAGGCGAACAGGGTTAAGTGATTTGTGCAGGGCCACACAGCTAGTAAGTGTCTGAGGCCAATTTGGACTCAGGAAGTTGAGTCCTCCTGAGTCTAGGCCTGGCACTCTATCCACTTTGCCACAAAGCTGCCCCTTAGTGTAGGTCATAGCAGGGTTGCATGAAGGCATTTCATTGTTACAGGCACATAAAATATAGGAAGAAGAAACCACTCCTTCTCCCACTTTCCACCAATGTTTCTAGTGAGCTTAGCTATCAGTCAGCATCAGGCCAGCCAGTACCATTTGAGGATCTATATAGTACCTATTGCTTCTCCAGGAGCATCAGAACAGTTATAGAAAAACCTAAAGCCTCAGGTCTCTGCTCGGCATATTTCACAGAAACTGTTAGCTAATTAGGAAAAAGCAAGTCAAGTCAACAGGCACTACTTTGAGGGGGGAGGTGAGGGATAGAATTTGGAACACAAAACTTCAAATAAAAATGTTTTAAAATAAATGAATGAATGAATGAAAACCTACTATGTTCCAGACACTAAGCTCTGGGGATAAAAAGAATGGCAAAAATAATCCTTGCACACAAGGATCTCACAATCCAACAGGGAGTTGAATGGGAACTTCCAACTGGGCCTAGATATCCCCAGATGGGACAGTGATCCCTTCCAGGGTGATTATGGTGTTGATTAATTACCAGCATTATTTCATCCATTCTAACCATAAGAATAACAATTTCTGACCTATTATAACATTGTAGGTAAGAGCTATCCTGTGTTTGGGCAAAGCAAGTAGTTCCTGACATTGCATAATGAGATTAGGCCTTAAAGACCCCAACCAGCCCCTAAGCACTTTGTGCCAAAGGGTACCATTTCTTATGTCCTAGCCTGCAATTCCCACTATGTAAAAGTCACTGCTTTGAGTTAGGTACAAAAGGTAGGGACAATGTCTTTAGAAGGCAACTTTTAACCCCCATGTGTGTGAACCCCATCCGTATTATTATGGATTAATTTCTTAGAATTAGAACCATAGAATTCTCTGGAAGGAATCTGACAGATTATCTAATCTGTGCATTTGATAGATGAGTACAGAATTGAAATTACTATGATAAGACTAGAATTTTGCTCAAGGTGCTGATGTCTGGGGTGGGGGTGAGCTTCCTTCTTATGGTGACAGATACCCTACATCTCATGCCCACCCCCATGATCCTGTCATCACGATCCCCTCTCCCAGAGCTCACCTTTTCCATGTTCCAACACTCTGAGAATCTCATGCTAAATTTTCTAATGCAGGGGTTCTTAACTTTGGATGCCTTAACTTGGTTTAAAAAATTTTTTGATAATTTGGGCTGCAAATGCTGGAGTCATTGCATCTCCTCCCACTGACCTTATCTGGAAGAACCAGAACTCTCGGGGTACTGGTGAAGATGTAAAAGGTTATATTAAAAAATTCTCAGGGAGAGGAGGTTGCTCAAAGAAGTACAGTCTTTAAAACAACTTTAACTGAAGAGGAGGAGGAGGAGGAAGAAGAGGGAAAGAAAGAAGGTGCCAAAGCAGTTGAGGAGGAGAATGTCTCTCACCAGCAGGGAGACCCAAGAACACCCAAGAGAAGCTGTGCAATTATGTAAACTGTTCAAATATCTTTCTCAAAATAAAAAAACTGCAGTAATCCTTATCTACATACACTCAGAACCTTCTCAGAAGCACAAAGTCTTTTTGTATTTCCTTTATGTGAATTTATAAGCTGGAAGCCTAATGGCCTTAATTTCCTTTTTGACACTGAAAAACATGTTTTATAAAAGAAATCCTATCCATAACTTTTCTGTAAGATGTGAATTTTTTTTTTAAATCTCTCAAATTTTTCTGCCATTTTTGTGTTACTGGAATTTTCTTGGTCTTTATTTTTGAAAGATTTTGTGAGAAGAGAAATAAACCACCATGTGTCTGGGAGTTATTTGGAGATTTCTCCATATAGACTAGCATTGGGCTATTATTGATAATTCTCTATTCTGCATAATGGTGCTGTGAGGGAGAGGGAAAGCATTTTCAATATTTTGGACATTTTTGTACTGGGTTTTTTTTTGGTAATACAAATTTTTGATACAGATTTTTTTGATAGAAAAAACAAAACTTTGTAAGAAAGTAATATTGCCAAATCATAACGTGAACGCTCTGAATAAAAGCTACAACAAAAAATTTTTTTTTTGATAACTGTATTTCAGTATAACTGGTTTCATTTGTTATCCTATGTATTTTATTTTAAAGACTTAAACATTATTCTGAGAAGGAATCATTAGATTTCACCAGACTTTTAAGGGAGTCTGTGACACCAAAAAAGTTAAGAGCCCTGCTTTCAGGAATAGGCTGCCCTAGTACCAAGTGCTAAACCAGTGATTTAATAGTCTTCTGGGCCCCTGTCCATACCCCCAACCAAGTTAATTTGTCCTTAACACAAGAATCCCTAGTTACAGATCTGGATGAAGCTACAGCATTAGTTAGCTGACATCTTGGAAAGCACTGAGTTCCTGGCTCTGAAAAAACTAAGACACAGGACAGGTGAGTGTCAATGGAGAGAGTGAAAGGAATATGCCAGTTACAAATGTTGAGTGGTTGGAGACAGGCTAGGGAGGACTGAGGTGGGGAGGTAAGAAGTTTTAATGTACAGTTAGAAGACAGGAGAGCTAGGGAGGGATAGGCTGAGGGCCCCAGGGTAGTAAGACCTGGTCTTGGACAAGAGGATACTTTTGGGGAAGAAACTGAAAGAGAGGGAGTACTAACAAGATAAATGCTAATACTTAAGGCAAACATCTTCTTAACAGTTTTACCCAGAGTAAGCCCTACAGGAAATTCCTAAGGATCTTAAAGAAACTAAACAATAAGAAAATCACAACTCATACTCTCCAGGCAGATGATCTGATAGCAAGGTCCAGCAGAAAGAACTAGGGATGACCTGACCCTTGTTCTGATATCCTGAATGACCTTGCTAGACCAAACTCTAAAAAGTAGGGTGATAAAACCTCTCCTTGGATGTCATGAGAATGCTCCAGACCATTAAAAAAATTTTAATGGAATAAGAAATACTATATAATGGCTGAACAACAAAACTACAAATTCCAGAAGAAATGTCAAAGGCCCGTTTCTTGGTATAGAAATAGAATGAAAAATGTAAGATCCTCAAGTTTTGATGCGTATCTCCATTTTTTTTTGTTTTAAGGAGAATAGGAAAAGGAACAAGACCTCTGATTTCACTGGTATAGGAAACTCAAAGTTGAGAAAACTCCTGTTATGGTTGAAGGTCTGCACCTCAAGCCAACTTAGATCCTTAGACGGTTGCCTAAAACAGTGAGAGGTTAGGTGCCTTCCCCTGGGTCATACAGCCAAGATGTGTCAGAGACAGACTTCAACCCAGGTCTTCCTCACTCCAAGACCAGCTTCCTATCCACTACTCCAAGCACGAGCTATGCCACATTTCATTCATTTTAATTCTTCCTCTAACTGGTCACAGCTTTTTACACCTATAAATACCCTGGCTCTGGCCTCAAAACTTTTAGTTTAACTATAGCAGTGATCTCTAAACTATTTTTTAATCAAGAGCTTCTTTCAGTAAACATTTTTTGAGTGTGCACCCCAATGTATGTGTATTTACTTATTTGTAAATCATAGCATCACTTACTATATGAATAATTACACATTATGGAATATATAAAAATGATATATTTTGAAAATGTTATTTTATTTATAACAGGTAAAACTTTTTACTCTCACTTAAAAATTATTATCAATAAAGATATAATCAGCTTCACTATTTTTGAAAATCTTCATATGATATTTGTTGACACAGCCATTTCAAAGTCTGGTTGTAAATTAGTTAATTTTGATTGGTGGTTTTAACAGCGATCAGCTGAAAAAGATACTTTACAAAGATTCCTAGATCTAAGTGGAAGAAATGAATCATTGATTGCCCTTACTAAATCATGGTGGTTATTTTTCAATCACATCCAACATTTATATAAAAGTTTTTTTGTTGAAATGCAGTCAATTTCCATCTTCTCTGATGTCAATTGACTATTCTTGAAAACTAATTAGAAGATATTGTATTTTTATATTTTTAACAAATGTATTCAAAACCCACTGAAGCTCTTCATTTGGAAGACTTTTAAATAGATTAGAATATTCTTTTTCCAAGGTTTTTGAATGTGCAAGTATGATAATATTTTATATGTGCCACATGTAACATTATTTTCAGCAACCCAGAAAGGAGAAAGTAAGTATACAGAAAGAGAGGAAGGTTAATACTGTCAAATGCTAGAGAGAGGTCAAGGAGGATGGGATTAAGAAAAAAACAACAACCTGGGGCAGCTAAGTGGTGCATTGGATACAGCTCTGGGCCTAGAGTTAGGAAGACCTGAGTTCAAATTTGACCTCAGACACCTGCTAGCTGTGTGACCCTAGGCAAGTCACTTAGCCCTGTTTACCTCAGTTTTTCTCATCTGTAAAATGATCTGGAGAAAGAAATAGCAAACCACTTCAGCATCATTGTCAAAAAAAATCCCAAAAAGGATCATTAAAGAGTCCTACACGATTGAAAAACAACACTAGCAGCGTGACCCTGGGCAAGTCATTTAACCTCCATCTGCATCAGTTTCTTCAACTGAAAAATGGGGATAATAACAGAACCTACCTCCCAGGGATGTTGCAAAAATCAAAGGAGATCATATTTGTAAAGCATTTTGCACCGTCACCAGCACATTGTAAGTCCTTTAATAAACGCTTGCTTCCTGCTATCCTTCCATCGGTAACTTGGAAGAGAGCAGTTTCAG